TGCAATGGTGTGATCTGGCTCACTGCAATCTCCGCCTCCTGGGTTCAAGCAATTCTCCAGTCTCAGCCTCCCAAGTAGCTGGGATTACAGGCACGCACCACCAAGCCCAGCTAATTTTTGCATTGTTAGTAGAGATGGGATTTCGCCATGTTGGCCAGGCTGGTCTCGAACTCCTGACCTCAGTTGATCTGCCCACCTTGGCCTCCCAAAGTGCTGGGATTACAGGCATGAGCCCCCACCCCTGGCCATAACATGGTCTTGTTTTGGCTTGAAGCTTTACATATTTTAAATACTTAAATGCCTACAGATAGAGAAACATTTACCATTATCCTTCACAGAAAAAATGGCAAATATGTGACCTTCAGGCATCCCCTTCCATGAAAGCCATTGAGGATCAACCTCAGATTTCTTCCCCAGTGCACCTGCTTTCAAGAATTGCCTCTTAACCCAGCTGTCCAGGAAGTCATTCTGAAACTATTAGACTTCATATGCAAGCTGACATCGACATAATTCTCCTCATGTGTATCTTATGTGAATGAGTTTATTGAATCTTACGTGAATGAGTTTATTGAGTCAGAGCAAATTTTGAGAGTAAGAAAGGAAAGAAAGTATAAGGTTTTTGGATTTGAGGGAAAAACTCAGATGTTACCAGCAAGGGTGGGTTATAAATTTTGTCTATAACTTTTTATAGAGGTAGACATACTATATATAGAACATCTAGTACTAAGTGCCACATACCATTATTATTACTTTGTGTTTGTTATGCCGTTTTTTCTTTACAGCAGCTTTAGGGGATGGGGAGAGGTCTCAGTTGTACAGTGGAGGAAACTGAACCTTCATGATATTTAAATGATATGTAAATGCTCTTTCACCTTGGTCAAGTCATTTAAACATAATGGAGATTCCGGTCGGGCATGGTGGCTCACGCCTGTAATCCCAGCACTTTGGGAGGCTGAGGCAGGTGGATCACTTGAGGTCAGGAGTTCAAGACCAGCCTGGCCAACATGGCAAAACCCCGTCTCTACTAAAAGTACAAAAATTAACTGGGCATGGTGGCACGCATCTGCAGTCCCAGCTACTTGGGAGGCTGAGGCAGGAGAATCACTTGATCCCGGGAGATGGAGGTTTCAGTGAGCCGAGATCACACCACTGCACTCCAGCCTGGGCAACAGAGCAAGACTCCGTCTCAAAAACAAAAAACAAACAAAAAAAAAACCCAAAAACCCTTGAGGTTCCCTTCTTTCCTGGGTACTCTGCAATTGTATACATTGCCTCCAGAGTTGTATAGAATCACATCAATAACATGAGAATCTTCTCAAAGTAGACCGCATTTTCGGTGCTATGTTCCTTAGTAACAAAATTAAACATTAATTTGAGTGGACTAAGAATTAAAACTTCTATTTCTTCAACCTTTGTTATTTCTACCTGATAAGTAATAATGCAGCTCCTTGGAGATGATGTAAAATCATGATATTTTTCCAGTATGGATAATATTTATCTAAATTTTCCTTATGAGTTCTCTTCTGTGATATTTAATATATTCATGTTGACAAATTTTGAAATTTTGTTGCACATATTCATCTGATAAATTTTTTAATACTTTGGCGATATTTTGTAATAAATAACTCATATTGGACAAATAAATAACACTACTGAGGATGGCACAGTCAATGATTTTTAGGAAGTGTGAGTTTTGGATGTAATGGCCTTATAGTTTCAATTTTAAAGTTATTTATTTGAACAAGAATTTTACCAGGCCTTTTATACAGCAGACATAGAACTGGTTATATATTGGATCACTTTTTATATTCCTAATGAGTATGGGGCCATTCGTTTTATTTTCAATATCAGTTGACCTTATAAAGGACAGTTTTAACATTCATTTCAAACCAGAAATAGCAAGTCTATTTTTATAGTAATTCTTTTGTGTGTCATGCTATTATTTAAGCACCTACTATATGCCAACATCATACTGCAATGTTAGTTAGAATGTTGAAAAAAAATGATGACCAATTATTGCTGAGTGTTGAGAGCGCCTTCCTTCCATATTCTCTCGTCCTCTCTCCTGTGCACAGCCACAGTCTGCTCTGCAGCATCCCTGACACAACCTGCCACAGCTCAAACGCATCCTCTAATGCTCATTAATAATAACACTTATAACCACTTAATAGGTACCAGGCCTCCTACTACACATTTCACAGTAATTCATTTAATCTTCTCTATGACCCTGTAAAGTAGAACTCCATTGTATAGAACAAAAATCTGAGGCACAAAGAGGTTAAGAAACATGATCAACAGCTAGTAAGTAGAGTAGTTGAGCCAGGCTTGGAACCTAGACAGTCCTGCTCTGTATCAGTATATTTAACCTATATTCAGGTGTCTGAGCAAGAAGAAGCTCGAGTAATCCAGCCTGGACAGGTGAGTATCTGCATAGAGCGAGGCAGTGTGAGCGATGAGAAAGCAGCAAATCTGAGAAATCCTCCAAAGAATAAACAGAAGTAGATGTGAGATTGAATACAGACGCTAAGGAGAAGAGCCATGCCAAAGAGCATGCCAAAGACTAATGGAATGGTGGTATGCCCCTGGCCAGTGGGGTATTTGAGATGGGAAATGGTTTAGAGAAAAAAGTCATGAGCTCCACTTTGATCTGTTTAATCTGAGGTGATGGGATCAACTCCAAATTGACTAGTACGACACACAGATGTGATGAAATGGCAAAGCAGTGTGGCATGGTAGAAAAACATCAGATATGGAATGACAAAAAGCAAGTTCAAGCTGTGAGGCTGATGCTAGTACCTCTGTGACACCATGCAAGTTTCTTTGCTTCTCTGAGCCCCAGTTCACTTTCCTGTGATTAATTTCCTTTTTTATGCCATTAGAAAGTTTAGACTAAAGTGGCGTGCCATAGAACAGACAGCCAATTAAAAGTAGAATGAAGATCACATGCCTAAATGAACTACCTTTCAGAATGTATTAATCTGAACAATATCTATTTAGGGGAAAAGGAATAATCACATTGTTAAGTCAGAGCTAGGATGGCCATATCATATGGTCCAAACCAGTACCATTTTAAGAGTGAAAATATGTGCTCTAAATAAATACACCAGAACAACAGGGATTCTGGTGTAATTGTGGTACTGTCATAGGAAAGGAATACAAATGGTTACCGTACTCACAGCCACCAGAAGAGGTACTTCTGAAATAGTCTTTATAGAAACCACAATTTGTGGTTTCCAATTTTGAATGAAAATAATCCTAGATGAAAATGGGTATATTCAGGATGTGATTTCCAGCTGAGAACCTTCCTTATGGACTGTATCCAAAGACCAGTTCCTTTCTCCCCTCTTCCTTAGCAGCGTTCCCCACCCCACTACTCTCCTTTGGTTCACACAAGACACTCAAGCCACGGTAGTCATTTGGTCGTCTAGAAAAAGGAGTGACTTCATTGTATTAATATGTCTGATGTCCTCTCCATTGCTAATACTTGTTCATTTCTGATTGCTGCCTTATAGTTGCTCCGCTCTGCTGCCGATTGGTCTGCTGGTATAAAGTACCATGAAGAGTCCATCCATGCCGCTTACGTCCATGTGATAGAGAACAGCAGGCACTATATCTATATCGAAGTAAGTCCTGCTCCTGTAAATTCATGTGAGAAACTGCCTTCCCTTAAATATCATGCCGAGATTTCAGAGTCCCCAAACTTAGGACCTGTCATATTAATGAGTACATTTTGAGATGTGAAACGTGCTGGAGAAGCTCTGGTTCATATCACCTGGATTTTGACCTCCCAAGCATACCTGGAATTGGCTCTGCATTGTCATTAACTCAAGACTGTATTGGGAGTCTCCCAAATCTTTGCTATTAAAATACATCATCAACTCACTGTAATAGTATTAGACAGAAATACCCCAACATGGATATGTAAGTTTTGATTTCGCTTGGGTTGGAGAGTTTAAGTGTGAAGCAAGTTCTATTTCAGGAGAGCACACACAGGGGTGAGTTGCTAAAATAGAGACCACTGGATGCTACTGGTTCGGGCATGGCGGAGTAGGGAGACTGCAGGGAAAAGAACATGGAAAAGGAAGATGTGAGAACATTAAGAGCAGGTACCACCTTCTTCAATCCTGTGTGAACTACTATTCATTATGAAGCTTTTTTTCATTCCAGAATTTTTAGAGTATATGAGAAAATCTGGGGACACTGAGTTTAGCTTGGGAACTTAAATTACTCTTCAAAGTGAATATAAAAATAGTTCAGAGAACTTGAAAAACCCTGAGAAAATAAAAAGTCACAATAATGGAAAAAATAAATCATAGCATAATTTCCTTCTTTATTCAAGTCTTTTCTTTCCCAATGAATGTTTTAAAGGTAGATAGGGGAATGGGTTAACTGAGGAAAACCATTCTAGCCCTGTTTTTCTTCCCCTTGGGTCCTGGCCCTTTCCCACTCTGCATAGCAACAATTCATTACAGACAAGCAGGGAAGAATTGGAGCTTTATTTGTTTCATGAGCCTGGCTAGAGAAACCTAAGTTAAATATAATATATTAGCTGGCTAAATGCAGTGTGGTATCCTGAATGGCATCATGGAATAGATATAGGACATTAGTGGAAAATGAGCAAACTCTGCATAAAGTCTGGAGCTTAGTAATGCTATTAGTATTATTAATTTCAACAATTATACCATAGAGATGTAAAGATGTGAAGGCTGGCTCATCTATTGCCCAGAATCTTTTTGCTTCATCTCTTTTTAGTAGCATTAACATCAGCTTTTCTGGCTGGGCACAGTGGCTTACGCCTGTAATCCCAGCACTCTGGGGGGCCGAGGTGGGCAGATCACCTGAGTTCAGCAACTCGAGACCAGCCTGGCCAACATGGTGAAACCCCGTCTCTACTAAAAATACAAAAAAAATAAAAAATAAAAAAAATAGCCGGGTGTGGTGACGGGCACCTGTAATCCCAGCTACCTGGGAGGCTGAGGCAGGAAAATCACTTGAACCCGTGAGACAAAGGTTGCAGTGAGCTGAGATTGAGCCATTGCACTCCAGCCTGGGTGACCAAAGTGGGACTCTCTCAAAAATAAAATAAAATAAAATAAATAAATGAATAAAAATAAATAAATAAATACAAAATCAGTTTTTCTTTTTAATGTGACCATAGTATTAAATGATGTCAGTAATGCCATGTAGGTAGACATGTTGGGACACAGACCTGGTTGACACTCCTCTAGTCAAGATAAGCAATCAGCATTCACCCGACTCTTCCAAAAAAGGAGAAATAAAGGACACGACATGTAGCCAGTCTGTGTTTACAGCTGCTGAGGAATGCTAAGCTTCTTTACAATATGAATTCAGAAAAAGAAACATGGTTTGGTTGCCACTGAGATTTTGATTGTCTGATGCCCTAAGGGGAATCACATTCTCAAAAGACTTTCTGTACCGTGTCTTCCCATAAGTTTGTCTTCTGGAGGCATTTTACAGATTTATGCACTTAAGTATACAAGCTCATATAGTCATAAACATGATAATGCTGCAAAGGGATGATAATTACGAGTTGTTACATATATATCTCTTTACCTTGAGATGATTAGCAAATACTACTTTGTGATAATTGTCCTTATAAATTACAGATGCGTTGTAACAATCTATTCTATTTGAACACATGATATTCATAATATTTGCACCAAACCTTTATGCAGCAACAAAATCTTTTGCACTGTTATGATAATGTCGTAACTTGTTTTCTAGTAACCGTTTTAAAGACTATTTTGTAGATATATAAATAGCAGAAGTACTTAGAGGAAAAAAACATTTATTTTATTTTATTAACTGGCTTATATGTATGCAACATACAAAAGAGAGTTGAGGCTACTTAGAATAGAAGTTCAGAGATAATAAGATACCCAAACAAACAAGACAAGGTGAAAGCAGATACCAGGAAATAATGGAGAAAGGGTGGAGAAAACTAGACCAGGCTTTTGCCATCTACCCTGTTATAAAAGCAAGCTTAGCATGAGGTAGGATGTTTGCCAATATAGAATTTTTAATCATAAGAATTTATACAGTGTGTGAATCTGAAAGAAACTAATTTCCCTATTGATTGAATTTGCAATGTTCCTAAGTATTCTGAGAATGTAATTTAGAAAATCACCTATGAGGAATTCTCATGGTGGAATAATATAGTGTAACTTTCTACTTGATTAAGTGTTATAGGTGATAAGACCTGGAATCAAATGAGACCCAGAGTGAGATGAGGCAGCTTTTATTCTGTGTCATTGACTTTCTTGATGTGATTTCAATGATCAGAACACATCTGCTGTGTGAAACATTTTAAAATACATATCAGTGTATTTTTTATTTACCATATTGTCCTTACGTATACTGCTTACAAAATAAAGACTAACATGATTGTCTTGTTTATTTCTCATAGAACCAGTTTTTCATAAGCTGTGCTGATGACAAAGTTGTGTTCAACAAGATAGGCGATGCCATTGCCCAGAGGATCCTGAAAGCTCACAGGTAACAGCCTTTGGCTGGGAGTTTTTGCTACAGATGTTCTTGTATTTATTACTAAAATGACTTTGCAAGGCCCATTTTTAGAGTACTGTCATTTCCTAGCAGGCTTAAATTTGGTTCAGCCAGCAATAGGTTACTGATGCCTTTAGTCTGAGTCAGTTGCTAAAAATTCTTTAGTCCCCTTTCTAGGGAATTTGAATTCTTCCAGGGCACAAAAATTTCTTCCTGGCCAGTCTGTTTCCCACACATGAGGTTTGTGATTTGTTTTATTTAATAGCAGACTATGAGCTGTGTTCACTTAAAAAACAAAGCAAAATAGACATAATATTTTGCTGTGGGTTATGTTTAAATTCTTGTTACCATATGTCATATTTATTCAGCTCATGGGATTATTTCTTTAATAATTGGTTTGCTGTGATAGAATTTACATACCGTACAATTCAGCCACTTAAACTATAGAATTCAGTGATTTTTAGTATATTCACAGAGTTGCACAACCACCACCTAATCAATTTTAGAACATTTTTATCAACCCAGAAAGAAACCCCATTAGCAGTCATTACCCATTCCTTCGTTTTTTAGCCCCTGGCTACCACTGATTTTTCTTTTTCTATAGATTTGCCTAGTCTGGGCATTTCATATAAATGGAGTCACACAGTATGTGGTCTTTTATGACTGATTTCTTTGTCTTAGCATAATGTTCTTGAAGCTCATCAGTATTATAGCATTTATCAGTATTTCATTTCCTTTTATTGCCAGATAATATTCCATGACGTGGATATACCACGTCGTATTTATTCATTCATTAGTTGGTGGACATTTGGGTTGTTTCTACTTTTTGCCTATTATGAATAATGCTGCTATAAACATCCTTTACTAGTTTTTGTGCAGATATATATTTTCATTTCTCTAGGGGTAGAATTGCCAGGTTATAGCTAACTCTATGTTTAACATTTTGAGGAACTGCCAGACTGTCTTCCAAAGCGCCTCTGCCATTTTATATTCCCACAGTGTATGAGAGGTCTAGCTTCTCTGTATTTATCAATAGTTACTATTATTTCTCTCTTTGATTATAGTCATTCTAGTAGACGTGAAATACCATTTTAGAAATGGTATCTCATTGTGGTTTTCATTTGAATTTCCCTAATGTCTAATGATACTGAGCATTTTTGTGTGTGCTTATTGGACATTTGTGTATTATCTATGGAGAAATATCTACTCAGATCCCTTGCCCATTTGTTCATTGGGTTATTTGACTTTCTGTTGTTGAGTTGTAAGAATTCTTTATACATTCTAGATACAAGTCTCATATCAGATACATGATTCCCAGTTTCTCCCATTCGACGGCTTGTCTTTTTACTTTCTTGCTGGTGTCATTTGAAATGGAAAATATTTTTTATTTTGATAAAAGCTAATCAGCTTCTATTTTTTTCCTTGTATCCATTGTTCTTTTGGCATCTAAGGAATATAGATAGTGCTATCTAAGAAATCACTGCCTGATCTAGGATCATGAAGATTTATGCCTGTTTTCTCCTGAGAATTTTATAGCATTAGCTCCTACATCTAGATCTTTGACTCATTTTGTTTCTTTTTATATATGGGGTGAGTTAGGGGCCCAACTTTTTATTCTTTTGTTGATGGTTATAGAGTTGTCCTAGTACCATTTGTCAAAAAGACTATTCTTTCCACATTGAATTGTCTTGGCACCAGGTACAATTTCTTTTTATGGCTGATTTCAGCTCCATGTAAAAGTAGCAGAATAAACACATAAACACAACCATTATATATCATTACTTCAAGTCATTGAATGCATGCAGTGAAGAGTAAGTGCATATACATTTGGGAATTAAAACATTTTTTACTTCCAGTGTCATGTGGTACTTTGATCTCTTTTTTTCACATAATATTTGGGGACTTTTATACTGAAGGACATATTATAACAGTAACTATCAGCATTTTATGTGATTCACAGTTTATAACTACATTATCTCATAGAATCTTCACAACTACTCTTGAGAGTAGGTCATGTATTTGTTGTTGTTATTGTTATTATTGCTGTTGCTGCTGTTCCCATTTTTAGGATTAAAAACTGAAATTCAAGAAGTTATGTGACTTGTTTAGGCCACTAACAGCAATAGGTAAAAAACAGCTTTGAGCCTAAATCTTTAGACTTTCAACCCATTTGCTTCCCCTCACATGACTCTAATGCATTGATGGTTAGGATTAAAAACCCATTCAGGGCTTCCCCAAGCTGAGGCAAATGTGTTGGACCTATAGTTCCCTTCCCCTATTGACTGACCATTGGATGCAGGCTGATCCTAGGGAGTGGGGATGACCTTGAGTGAAGCAGGTCCCTTTCACCTATGGAGGACTCCATACTTTTCATACCTGGAGGACTTCACTGTGAGTGTTCTGTGGTCTACATGCTCAGTAGCTGATGGGATGGCTGTCTTGATCCCATGGTGAGAGGATCTAGGCAGCACACTACAGCATCCATCACATCCCTGTGACTACACATCAAAATCACCACTGACTTTTGCAAGATTGCAGAGAGCTTAACACACCTCCAGGCTTAATGGATCATAATTTCCTGGAGTGGGGTCTGGCATCCGTATTTTATACTGCCCCAAATATGTGTTTTTAAGTGTTTGGGAGCCTGAAAGAATATTTTTCTTTACTGTAGTAATTTGTCTTTAAAAATCTGGACTTCTAAAATAATAAAATTAGCCTGGGCATGGTGGTTCATGCCTGTAATCCCAGCACTTTGGGAGGCCGGTGGGTGGATCAACTGAGGTCAGGAGTTTGAGACCAGTCTGACCAATGTGGTGAAACTCTGTCTCTACTAATAATACAAAAATTAGCTGGGCTTGATGGTGCATGACTGTAGTCCCAGCTACTCAAGCTCCTGTGGTAGGAGCTTGAACCTAGGATGCGGAGATTGCAGGGAGCCGAGATCATGCCATTGCACTCCAGCCTGGGTGACAGATCAAGACTCTGTCTCAAAATAAATAATAGATAAATAAGTAAATAAAATTATAACATTTTAGGGTTAGAAGAAACTTCAAGATATTTTCTGATGGAACATTTCCCAGTGATCTTATCAGCTGCTCCTGAAAGGAAAAGGGATCTGTGACTTTAAACAGTATGGTAAAGTAGCACCTGTTGCAGATTGTACCTTACACTGGAGTTTGATGGAGCACATTAAAGACTCTGGCAATTTCAAGTTTGCTTTGTGGAAAATGGGGAATTCATTGATCAAATTTCAAATAAACCATGTGTCATTTAGCTCTGATCTCTCGATAGTCTCATTTTTTTGAGAGGCACATTTTCAAAATGGTACATGTGTCACACATTTAGACTTTCCGTGGATACACACACGCATCCTCAAAACATATTTTACGTTTTTCCCCCTCTCTGCATCTCTGCGTTCTTGTTAATCTCCCTATGTTAACTGCAACTGTAAAACATATTTTTGCTTAATTTCAAATCTGTGAGCTTGTGTTCTGTGAGCTTGTGCTGGGCAAGGTAAAGGCAGAATTAAAAAGCTTATCTTGGGCAGGTGTGGTAGCTCACATCTATAATCCCAGCACTTTGGGAGGCAGAGGCGGGAAGATTGCTAAAGGCTAGAAATTTGAGACCACCTGTCTTTACAAAAAATAAAAAAAAATCCAGGTGTGTTGGTGTGCCTGTAGTTCTAGCTACTTGGAGGCTGAGGCAGGACGATTCCTTCTAGCTACTTGGAGGCTGAGGCAGGAGGATTCCTTAAGCCTGAGTGTATGAGGCTGCAGCGAACTGAAATCGCACCGCTATACTCCTGCTTAGAGGACAGAATGAGGACTCATCTCTAAAATAAATAAATAAATAAAAATAAAATAAACAGCTTATTTTGCAGGTTGCTGGCATGGGGTGCCCCCTTTTCACTAATTAGGGGCCATGATATGCCATCCCAAGCTTACCCCTCTCTCTCCATAGACTTCTCTGTAGTCTTCTTTTCTGAGACTCAGAACTTCCCTGCCAAGGTCACATTCTTAGCAACAAGTATAATTTTGGCTATTTGAAAAAGAATAGAATACAGCCCAAAGCAGATGGAGGGAAATGACAGTCCGCAGTCAGCCAGGCCTCACCAAAGGATACAGGCCCTCTGCCAGGTCCCTCCCACCCTGGAGAAATCTGAGTCTTCAAATTGCCAACTCCCTCAGCTGGGCTAAGTCTTTATTTTTCTGCCAGCGCTGGAATCCAGCCTCACAACAATTCACCTAAGCAATTTCTC